CCTTCAACGTAAGAATTATCATGATACTCAGTTATAGAATTATCCTCTACTCACTTACTGATAGCATTTTAACTCAGAGCAAAGCCACTTCTTCAAGCTATTCACTAAATTACCCAACATTAACCGAAATCCTCTAAGTCTTTTCTACACCCTCTTATTGAAATGTCCTGGGTTATCATGATGCTATTTTCCCTCATTTGCAAAAAGTAACAGATGAAATTTGTTCAATTTCAGGTTTGATCCTGGTAGTTCTTGGCTAGAGGATAAACTATCCGCAAATGGAACTCTGTCATTGATAAAACAAGTGTGGTTCTTCTATCCAAGAGAATAATTGGTCATGTTTTAGTGTAGTAAAATGTACATCACATAAAACTAACCATCTTAACCAATTGTTAAGTGTATGGCTGAGTGGCATTAAGTACCTTCAGAGGCACTACAACTGTATAGCTGCCTACAGAATCATTTAATAATTCAAAACTGGAACTCTACCATTAAAGTTTTTGTTTCTTCCTGCCCCAGCTCCTGAAAATTACTATTCTATTTTGTCCATAAATTTGACCATTTTAGGTACCTCATATATGGGAAATCACACAATATTTATTGTTTAGTGTCTGGCTTACTTTATGTAATATAATATCTTCAAGTTTCATGTGTTGTAGCAGGCCTTAGAATTTCATTACTTTTTAAAAGTAAATAATATCACATTGTATGTGTATAGTACATTTTGTATACCTATCCATCTATCCATGGTCATTTAGTTGTTTTTACCTTGTGACAGCTATGAATAATGTTGTTATGAGCATTGTATAAATGGTCATAGGTATTCTTTTTTAGCAGTAACAGAATAATTCCAGCATTTTTCTATTCTGAACATGAACCTAAAACAGCCTTTCATTTCCTTCCCAGGATACCCCATTTCTACCAACCCCTTTGCTCCAAGAGGCCAAATATTTTCTAGCAATTACCCTCTGGATGAGAGGGTCTGGATAGAGGGTCATTACTAGAAAAATAATAATGCCATTTCCAAATGTTACCACTGACATTACCAGGATAGCAATAGGTTGGGGAAGGAATAGGGAAAAAGTGGAGAAAGGCAAAGCAATAGTGTACCAATTTTTACTTCAAAATGTAGTTTCAAAAGTAAGGTATAAATCTTTGGTGATGTGCTACCCAATGAAGTGTTAAAAATAGGCATGTTGAAGAAGGTTTTCCCATTGAGGTGAAAGATAACATTTATTTCTTTAGCCATTGAGCTATCATTAGACATTTTCTTCCTGGAACATACACTCAAAGAGTTCAGAGACTTTCTGCTCCCTCTCCTCTCTCTAGGAGAGAATCCATAATAGGCACTCAATAAATATTTATGAAATAAGTGAGTAAAATGAATGATTAGAAGAAGCCCTTAGTAAGTCTTAAGCACTGTGCAAGATGCATGGAGTGTCAAATAACACCATCTCCACCTACATAATGCTTAAAACTAGGTAGGGAATTAGAAACACACCATGAGATAGCTGTAAACAAACTGTAATGGATATGCAGAGGAAGGAAAGATAACCTCTTAGGGATGGTAAGGGAAGTTATGAAGTGAAGATGGTTAGTAGGAAAAGCTTTGACACATAGAAAATTGAATTATGTAACATGGGGACAATCAAAGTCATGGTGACAGCAAGCAGCATAACAGTGAAGTATGGTTTTTAGAACTTTCATTCTGTTCAATAAACTTCAATTTTTTTTACTTAATTTAAATTTCACAGTATCTTTCATTTGCCCATCTCCAGGAGGAAATAATCATTCTTTATATTTCAGATAAGGAAATAAGCACAGTAATTAACTGCTAAATCCTGGCTATAAGTCTAGGCTTTCAGAACTCATAATTGGTTACTCCAACAAATAGATTGCATTCTTATGTTTTCATTGGCTGACACTTAAGATGTAAGTATAGGGGAGGAGAAAAAGAAAAAAAACCCAGAAAACTCTGCAAGGTTAAAGTACTGGAATAAATCAGGGGGTATTACTTTTTTTTTCTACATTTCCAAAGAACTTTACCATATTTTAAGTACAATTGCTTGTACAGAGGAATTATTTCATTAGTTATTTTTAGTTCCTAAAAATTAAAAAAAATTAAGTATAATTGTTCTTGGACAGAATATTGGGGTAGAAGTTGTAGAGACTAATATAAAAACCTTGATCACTAATTGTTAATTTTATTATGATTCTTTCATGCCTTTCTTTATGTTTTTAAGTTTGACTACAAATGTATATTTATGAGCTCTGTTTTTAAAATAATTTGGATGAATATTTTGAACAAAGATCCTCGTTTAAAATATTATTCAACTGAAATGTGTCCTAATGTTTTCTTGCCTATAAGAATCCTTGGTTTTTTTTTGGAAAATAATTCATAATCAATTTAGGTGCAAAAAACCCCATATTTCTAACAAGAAGAATTATGAACTAATGAAAGAAAATACATGGCAAAGAGTGCTTTTATTTTTATGGATGGAAGAAGATATGAATTAAAGAGATGCTCCAGATGAGTATCAATGTTTATATTCTTCTGACAATGCGAGTTTGATGGACATCAGAAGGTTACTGGAACAGTTTTAATGGTAGCATGAATCCCAGCAATAGGCCAGCTTTTATTTATGTTTATAATAATTTGATTTTTAAAGGTAGGCTACTATCAACACTACATTTAAAAAGCATTGACATTTCTCATGTTTTGGGATTAAAATGTTGATCTGTACCTTGAGTTGTCTGCACGGATTAAAAATCCAAGGTTCATATTTATTTCCAGCAACTATATGTATGAGAAAGAATCATAAAAAGGAACAGAATTTAAAAATAATAGAGTTGAAAAAGGCCTAGAGATTGGTATCAACTCCTACTTTAGTTTGCCAACAGATGTGATGGTTTATTTTATGTGTCAACTTGGCTATGTTATCTATGATGCCTGACTGTTTGGTCAAACACTAGAATGGATGTTGCCATGAAGATGTTTATGGATGAGATTAGCATTTACAACTGTTGACTCTGGGTAAAGCAGATTACCTGCTATAATAGGGATAGGCCTCATCCAATCAGTTGAAGGCCCTCAGAGCAAATACTGAAGTTTACTGAAGAAGTTATTCTACCTCAGGACTAAAACATACAACTCCTTCCCAGCTTTTGCCACAAATTTCAGACTTGCCAGCTCTCACAATCATGTGAACCAATTTCTTAAAACAAACCTCTTTCTCTCTGTATATACTACTGGTTCTGTTTTACTGGAGAACTCTAACTAATACAATGGCCAAACTAAAACCCAGATTAATTGTGTGATTTTTCCTGATGTCATTTAGTAAATGATATCAGGATTTGTGAGAGAAAGATGAGGAAATTAGGTAATAAAATATTATTCAAAATATTGATTACAGGCCAAGAAAGAAATTTGGAACTATCAACTTTCAGCCTTGTCTTTCCTGGTAGATTACATGCTCACAATATTAATGGCTAATGTTAGCATAAAATGCAACACATTTAAAAATCCCAATATTCAAAGCAGATAAAAGACAGTGTGTGATTATTTCCAGAAAGAGTTTTCTTCTGCATTTAAGGTGGTTCAATAATTATTTTACCCTCTTGAAAAAGAATAGTTTAAAAGGCTAGGACTGGCTAGGAAAGACAGGTAAACACAAATATCTTGTTATTTCAGTGAACATGCATACACTCTCTTGAAAGCTTCACTACAAATCTCTCAGTTTTTATCATTATCTTATAATGGAGAAAATGAGCCTTTGGAAAATAGAGAGTTTGCTCAATCTACTCAGAAAAAGAGCAACTAACTCTCAGATCTAACTTTTCCTTGTTTCCCTGCAATGATACCCTAAGAGTAACAACATTAGTCAGAAGGGTATTTATTACAGGTCTCTTGACTAAGAATCCTATGGAAAAAAATAAAATTCTCATTTTAATTAAAAGGATATGTGGGTTCTGTTGTGCTAACATGAATATTAAGATTCACTAGGGGGAAAAATTCCAGTACATCTCATTCTCATTCCAAAAGATAACCCTACTATGTCTTCTTGAAGATATGAACTGATTCTATAAGGAGAATGGAAAATTTGACCAAAATGATACAACATTATCTTTCTTTTCTCCATCTTTTCCACACTGTTCCCCAATTGATGGTGAATATTCTTTAGTCTTAGCATCCTTGTACAAAGTAAGTAGGCTCTAGGGTTTAAAAATGCCAAATGGATTTGCTGAACTGAAATGATTATTCTCATGTTTCATATCTCTCTCTCTCTCTCTCTCTCTTCAACCTTGATTTTTATTTCTCCAACCCAAGAATTTCCTTTGGGAAAAGAATTTATATACCACTGGATGTAAGAATAGGAGCACCTTTGTTTCATCTCCATTCTCTGGACTGCAAAGGCCCAACACACTTTAAAAAAATTTTTTTTTTTTAATCTTAGATGAACATAAATCTTTATTTTATTTATTTATTTTTATGTAGTGCTGAGGATCTAAAGCATTGCCTCACATGAGCTAGGCAAGTACTCTACCACTGAGCTACATCTAATCCATCTCTATATATTCCCACTCAGGCCACCTGGCTTGTCTCGGAACATGAATAAGACTTGATCTCTCTCCTCTTTCTCATTGGAAAGTATGTGGACCCATTTCTTTGGAGACTCAGTGAGAGATTTCTCCTGAGAGAGAAATATCTTTCTAGGCTGCCAAGAAAGAAAGAAAAAAAAAGAAAGAAAGAAAGAAAAAAGGAAAATTCAGACAATCACATAGATCACTTCAAATGGTGCCGGACACATTTCACCCAATGCTCCAGGCAGTCATTACAGCGTGCCATTGGGAGATGTGGTGGTTTTCTTCCTGCATCAGGCTTCAGTCTTGCCCTGAGCGCCATGAAACCAAGAGAGAGGCCAGAGGCAGCTTTCTCTGTAGAAATAACAGATCTCCCGCTATCTGGTGCAATGCTTCTTTACTACCAAATGTCTGAAGCAGGGTTCCAGGGATAAGTAGGAACCATCTAGAATTTACTGCCCTTCCCTGACACCACAGTTGTCAGCTATTCCAAGAATTAGGCAAATTGATAACCAAAGACCACCATTTTGTATAAGCAGGGTTGTGGGCTCTTCCCGAGGAAATTCATATCCAGAAAGCTTACGGAAAGGAAGACTGGAAGAATGGAAAGTCCTGAGAATCAGCGTAAAACTCTGGCCCTCAGGAGACAGTTACACCCCCAAAGTATGCTAGGATTCTAGGTTCAACCCCAAGATTGTTCATTCATCCAAAAAGGACCAGGAAGTCACACCAGTGGACGGAGAAAGACCATGGACAGAGCAAGACCATGGACAGACCGGCGGGGTGCATCAAGTTAAAAAATAAAATATAAAAGGCTAATAAGAAGAAGCCCAGGGAAGCTGCAGAATGGCGAGGAAAGGCAGAGCCGCCGAGGAGGAGTGAGACTGGAGGAAAGAGTCAGGAGGGAGGGGAGAGCGAGGAGAGCTGAGCACGGACGTCAGGAACAAAAGCTCCGGCAGAGTCTGGCGGAGGCACCGAGGGAGCACGGGGTGTTTTGAATAATTATTAAAATTAGCATGTGTCTGCGCCATCCTGTGGGTGTGGCGCAGAGCCGAGTGTAAACTCTAGCGGGGCTCAGAGCAAACATTGGATTCGCGGTAGCAGCCAGCCAGCCTGCCCGAGGAGTGCGGGGACCAGCTCGCGGCGGCACGTCGACCAGCACGATGGCCTCGTCTCAGGGGAAAAACGAGCTGAAATTCGCCGACTGGATGGCAACTCTGCCGGAGAGCATCCACAGCATCCCCCTCACCAATTTAGCCATCCCAGGTAGGCGCGCGGAGGCTGCTCGCCCAGCGCTGGGCGCCCGCTCCACCTGCCCCGCCCTGCTTTATCTGCCACTAAGTGGGAACTTGCCACGGTGCCCGCGGGAGGGAAACTCGTCTTCAGGGGTGGGTCTCAGGCCAGGCGAGTGCCTCCCTGGTGACCTCGGGGCTTCCGGGCATTTTCCGAACCTCTGGGGACCGTGGCGCCAGGAGTCAAGGTGACTGCTTCCCCCCAGGGTTATTGAAGCAGGCTGTTGGCGCAGGACTGGGGTAGGAAAGAAGCCGGGCTTTAGGATGGCGCCTCGTGCCCCCCTCCCATGATTTTTCCCTGCAGATTTGGGGAGCACAGGGCGGTTTCTGAAGCTGAGGGGGTGATAGTGCGCGGTGAGTAAGAGCTGGTGTCCGAGGGACTCTGCTCCCGCCAGTGGACCTGAGTCTATCCCTAGCGGGGAATGGAACAGATTTGGTAGATTTCTCGGTTAAAACCTACTCGAGTCATTAACATTCGTTCCCAGACTCCTTTAAAAAGACAAAGCGCTTCTCAAGAGTGATGAAAGTTCAGGGACAGGCGGCAGCGTGATCGCTGCCCTTGACAGAGAGCTGAAGGGGGCGAGAAGCTTGCGCCGTCTCCTGATCTGCGTGTACTCTGAGGACCTGGCCGAGTGGCCACCATCTGGAGTCTGGTCCAAGTGCACGTTAGCAACGTTAAGGCACTCGGATCAAGAAAGCAACCCCGTGGGAGCCTGGCGTTTGCTGCTCCGGACAGAAGCTGGGCATGGGGACCTGCGTGAGCAGGGGCGGAGGGGTGGGATTAATGCGCAAATGGTGGGAGAAAGGTGAGTGAGCCGAGTCCAAACAGCTTAGAAGGAAGGAAGCATGGGGGGGGAAAACGAAGACAAGACGTGGGGTATCAAGAGGTTTCAGTATGGCGCGCGCGACTTGGACTAGAGCACTCGGCAGGTTTCTGGGTTGGGGGAGAGCGCGCAGCCGTCCCTAGCTCCAGTAGCCATTGAGGGTGGGTCTTTTCAGGACAGTTTACAAGGATGACAGCTGGGAACCCGGCCACACTTCCCTAGCAATTTGGCTATGCACATGGACTGAGGGAGCGCACACCTGATCCTTTCAGGACCTGGCTGGAGGGCAGTTTTCCCATAGAAGAGAACTGGGTTATTCAATTTAACCTTCTGGACTACCTCGTCTTGGTCTGCCCCATCCAGCGCCCTTCTCAGCCACTGATGGAAAACATAGTATACAAAAAAAGAAAGGTGGGGGGGCTAACCCAGGAAAAAAGAGGGGGGGAGAGTTCTCTTGAAAACCCCAAGAAGATCCAACAAACATGCTGAACTTGATCAGTAACTCAAATCAAGGGTTGTTGGTAAAGTGGGTGTTTGGTGGCTATAAAAGACACTGGCTGCCCTGAGTGCCTTCTACAGAAAGGGTTGTCTCTTTTTGCCCTTCTTCAACACCTGTCTTCCCAAGGGCCTGGAGATCCCCAAGGGAAAGAATAACCCAGCTTCTCCACTCTGCACTTACTCGGCTACCTGGCTGAGCCTGGGGATTGCTCTTTTGAAGGAGATAGTCAAAAGTACACAACTTTGTTGGCAAAACTCCACTATCACTTACACAGGCATTCTTATCCCTTTTCTTCCTCTATTTTTATTTGAATTTTAGACAGTTACTTTCACTTGGTCAAACCTGAGTTTCTTTTTCTTTTTCTTTTTTTAAATCCACACATAGAAGATAAGAAGGGCAAGGACTGAGATGGCAGGGTTTTGATAGGGTATTCTCCAGAGATTAAGGAAAATTAAAACCTAAGTTGGTATAAATAGTAATGAGTGTTGATACCACATCCGAATCTACCTTACATTTCTGTAATGCTGCACTTTTCATAGTCCTGGTATGTATTTCAACTCACATCCGCCCCAAAATCTGTGAAGTAGACAGTATTGTATTATTAATCCTTTTCCTAAACGGAAAAAAAAAACCCAAAAAACTGAGACAGTGTAGGCAAATGACATACAATCAGTTCAGTAAACTGACCCTTAAACTGGATGTTAAGGAAAATCTTCTAGGAATTTTGGAGGGAAATGCTTTATGAGTTGTGTCTAGATGATTCAGCACCAACAGGTACTAACCAACATAAGTAGACTATGAAGTAGGCATTAGCAAGAACAGGATAAATCTCCCAGGTGGGTGGGGAGGGGAAACTTGAGGTCTAAGAGTTTGATATTCTGGAGAGCTTTGAGAAGAGACATAAAGATGATGGCATTGGAATGCATGGGAGCTTTTACTGCTTTCCCAAACCCTATTAGCATGATATTCAATGTGACTCCACTGCAAAGTCTCCCAAATTCACCAAAGTACTTCTGAGAAATACACCCATCAACACACAACATATTTTACCAAATCTATACTCCTAAATACTCCCATAACTCTGTAGATATGGCATGTTTGTGTGTGTATGTGATATATCTATATCTATATACATATGATATATTCATATTTATCTATATATATCACATAAACACACATATATGACAGATCTCTCCCTCTCTCTGTCCCTCTCATTCTCTCTCCCTCCCTCCTCTTTCTCTCTCTATACATATATATATATACACACACAGACATACATATATATCACCAAGATTAAAAATAGGTTTAGTACTTTTCTGCATTACTCAACACTGAAAATTTTTGGAGGAAAGAAGACATTCAAACTTAGATAGTCAGAGAAGACTAATTGGAGACTATTAAACACTAATGGAATAATTGCCTTAAAATCATGCTAATAGCTTCCTGGCTGCTACATGTTTACTTGGCCAGTTGCTACAGCTTGAATTAAGCAATTATCTCCACCATTTAAAACCACGCCTGGTGCACCACACAAGTGTTTCTGTAGAGGAGAGCTGCTGCTCAGCCGTCCTCAAAGCTTCAGGTTTCTTAGGTGAAGCAGCAACAAAGTGGAGAACTGCCTAATTATGAGGCCACGTACTTGGGGCAGCTGACACAAATTACCCAGAACTAGAGCAAAGAACAATTTTCATGTGTATGATATTACCCACCATGTGTGCAGTTCTGGCATCTCTAAATGTTTCTCAAGTGTCTGCATCTTGAATGCTTTCAGTTCTCCCAATGCTGTTTTGCATTTAAATGGCTTCATGATTTTTTATTGACTGGCCTGAAGAATTAAGTTAGTCATTGATATTAGTAATTTTATTTTCATTTTTTTCCCCAAGGGAATAATACTGCTAGAACACATACATTGTTATTCAAATTTCAGTTTTATTTATCATTTCTTTCTCTCTCTGATGAAACCAAACTAAGTTTTCACTCATCTATGTTTATTAACAATGGCATTTGGCATTATGAATGATGATTCTTCTTACTGTAAGCAGGTAAGAAAAGATAAACAGAGATGGAAACAGGAAAATGAAGTATAAGTTCAGGTAAAGGTGAGTGATGAATATTTAGCATCTTTGAAGCAGAGTTCTAAATATACAATCATGGTGGCCTCAGAACCTTTGAAGAGAGATGCAACACAGCAGCAGAATTGGCGATCTGAATCTGGGGCAGGGTGTCATTCTGTGCAAAATTTAAAAGATGGGGAAGGATTTAGCTCATGTAAAGGATGTGCTATTCATTTTGGATAGATGATAAAAATCTCATACATACCATAGCAACAAACTGACCATGAAATAATTAAAAATTGGCCAAAATATAGTGGGGCTGGAACCTCAGAGAGAATTATTTTCTTGAACAGGCAGTTGTTGGTTATATTTTAGATAAGGAAAACAGAAAGGTTTTTTAAGTCAATGATTATACCTATAAATTTGTTCATTTCCTTTAGAAAATGCCAACCCCAATAAAAAAATAACAGTTTTACTTAGGAAAACTAGACATTTAGCCAGCTCTGATTTGTGTGAATGGATGTGTATGTGTGTCTACTTTTGCTTATTTTTGTTTGTTTGTTTTATGCAGTCCTGGGGCTTAAACCAGGACCTCACACATGCTAGACAAGAGCTTTATCACTGAGCCATACTCTAGCCTTTATAACCACACCTTGTTAGTTTTTAATTTCTTTCCTCACAATAATCCCTTCTGTGGCCAGTGATTTTGGATGTCTTCTTCCTGTTCTTTGTAATTTACTATTTCTATTTTAATTGGCATTAGACACTCTATAGAATGAAGGTTGGACTGGATCTAGTTGTATTCTAAGAAAAAGCAGGGTTTTTTTTTCTATATTTTTAGTCAGTACAGTGACTACAGTGATACCACAATCAAAGTGATAGGCAATCAAAACGAAAGAAAGTTGTTTAGAATGAATATCCCTCCTGTGTTGCCTCTCTAATTCCTAGTTTAGTTTTCATTTTGCTAAGAAAAGAAAATGAAGAATATCCTGTGTTTTATGACTTTTAAAAATTTATGTTTTAATTGACACAAATCGTAAATATTTATGGAATGCCACACAATGTTTTGATACCTGTGTAATGTTCAAATCACCTTAAACATATATATATATATATATCTTCAAATGTCTATCATTTCTTTGTGGTGAAAATATTCAAAATCCTTTCTTCTCCATTTTTTTGGAATACACCATACATTATTATTATTATCTATAGTCACCCTACTGTGCAATAGAACACCAGAACATGTGGTCATCTACCTATAACATAGTACCTGACAACCAACCTTTCCCCATCCTTCTTCCTCCCTACTCTCCCTGAAGAATATCTGAAATAATTTGTTCCACTAGGATATTTTTCTTTATGATTTGAATTCAATCTCCAACTATCTCAACTATTTCAATCAATGTGAAGTGAAATATCATTTAGGAGGTATTCTTCTATGCACTCATGATTTTTGCATACTCCATCAATAATCTTCTAATGCCTTGCTACTCAGAATTGGTCCAGGGACAAACAGCATTGGTGTACAAGGGAGCTTAGTAGAAATGCAGCAAGCATCTCAGATCACATCCCTCAGATTCATCTAATTTTACAT